ACTTCTTTTCCTTTGGATAAACACCCAGTAGTGGGATTGCTGAATAAAATGGTAGGTCGACTTTTAGTTCTTTGAGGAATCTCCATACTGTTTTCCATAGAGATTGTACGAATTTGCAGTTCTACCAACAGTGTATAGTGTTCTTTTCTCTCTGCATCCATGCCAGCATCTGTTGTTTTTGGACTTTTTAATAAAAGCCATTCTGCCTGGGGGAAGGTGATATCTCATTGTGGTTTTAATTTGCATTTTCCTAATGATTAGTGACATTGAGTATTTTTTCATATGTTTACTGGCTTAATCTTTAAGAAATTTATATTTGCAATTAAATAACCATCTATGGCCAGTGTCTACCATTTTTGACAGCACAACTCTGGAGGGATGTAATATAGGCAGCTCTTATGTTGTCTGCCCAGGCCTCCCCTTTCTCTGTAAGCTGCTCCTCCATAAGTTTACTTGGGTGGCTCTGCACAGCCAAGTTCATTACATTTTTCCTCTTCATTGGCCATGGTTGCTTACTCTAGGGTGAAGACTGTACCAAAATTAGCAAGTCAGAGTCTCTTCACAGATGCTAGGGCAATGACAGAGAAGTCAGTCTCTCTCCGGGTGGACTCAGGCGCTGTTGGTAGCCATGTTTTCTGCATGGGGATATGGGAAGCAGAGGTGGCCAGTCTGCAAAGATTGAAGAATGAAGCAGACATGAAGAGAACAATGAGGTGAGGGAGAAAGCCAGAATCTTGGCTGCTGTGCCAGCCCCCGACTCCAGAGTATTCCTAAAACAGAGCTGCAGCTGGCCCTTAGGTTCTGTGACTCACCCCTAAATCCTTTTAATAAGAATTTATTAAAATAAATTATCTTTTGTATAAGCTCCTATTACTTATAGTAAAGAAGCGATAATTATCAAAAAGGGCTTGAGGAAAGTCCCCTTTGAGCAAAATCAACCACCAGGTAAGTGAGGAGGAGAGGGAATTGGCTGCTGGGTGCTGGTCCAGATGGGCTCATAGCGGACCCCAGTCATGGGGCACCCGAGGCAAGATAACGGCTAGTCCCTGAGGTCACCACAAATACTGGATGTGATCCTCAGCTTCACAGGGGGGAATATTGTTCTTTCCAGCTCCTCCAGAGGTGATCAGGCTGTGAGGACTGATACAGTCTCCTAAAAGTACAAATGACTGATTGATGAGCAAGAATGCCAATTTATCGTTTGCCTAACTAGTAAAGAACAGTAGTGTTCAAAAACAGCAATGATCTGACCCCAATTTTTAAAAAGGCCTCTCCCACTTTCTGTTGCACAGATATGACACGTATTTTTCCTCTTCTATTCCTGTGCTCCTACATTAACATTAGCTCAGTCGGGAATGTCTGTCTTCCCTCTCCATCTATCAAAATTCTACCAATATTTCAAGGCCCATTCAAAAACCATTCTCTCCTCTATCCACTTTCTTCTCCCCTTTTTCTTTGTGACTCCTTTGAGCATATGGCCTGAGTTGTTTATATAATTATTTATGAATGTTTCATATCTGCAATACTCCAAAACCTTCACGAGATACAATTTTTTATTAATGTAGTATAAAATTACATTCACTTTGCTGGTACTTACTTCATATTTTCATCTCATATTGAGTTCTGTGGTCAATTAAGATCCTTAATGTCATAATTCTTGAGGATTTCACCCAGAGCATGCTAGGATCTATTGGCAGGCTGTTACGGAAGTGGGTGGGGGATGAACCAAATGGCAGTGAGCAGAGAAGCACAGTATAGAAAACTTGGTATCAGTCTGGCAATACCAACATTGGATTGACATCAGCTTATGGTTTGTAAAATTACGATTTAACACTTTATGTTGTGGTATCCTTTATCTCTTGATTAATTTTTCTTGCTTTAATATAGGTTTCTAACAATGTTTGCATAAATATAGAATCACTTTTTTATTTAGCTTAAGCAAACACGAGATTAACTTAAGTGAGAGGGAAATAGCGGCAGGTAATTTTGGATTGTCACAATATCTGGAGTCACTTGGCTAACCACTCTGTGGTTCAAGGCCCATTAGAATTGGACGAAAGTCCAGCCAGCAGCCAACGGGGTTTGGATAATGAGCTCGAGGCCTGGATACCTGAGAAAGGTGGTTAAATGCAGGATAAGCACTTTGAGGCTCAGCAGACAGAGAAGTTAGGTAGAAGAGTTACAGGCTTCAGAGCCCGGCAGACCTAGGTTTTTCTCTTGGCTTTACCATCTGCCAAGTGTGGCACTTGGAACAAGTTCAACTTAATTTCTCTAAGCCTGTTTTCTTATATATGAGGGAAAATATTCTTGCCTTTTGTAAGATTGTTGTGAGAATACCTGAAGGGGCAAATATACAACTGGCCCACAGTAGGCACAAAATATTTATTAATTTCCATCACAGGCCAGCACTTGGTGGGGTGTATTTTTCTGAGCCTAGGCCGGATTTCAGGCAGAACCATGTCTAGTGGGGGAGTCAGAGATCAGTGAAAGAACAAAGGCTGACAGGTAGGCAGTCTGTAGCAGGAGGGGTTAGGAACTCAAATAGAAACTTAGGGCAATAAGATGAATGGCAGCTCCCACCACCTGTTGACTCATAAATAAAGATCCGATGGGCAATGTTCAGCACCTGTGATGTGTGATCACTCCGCTGCAGCCGCATGTCAGCCTCTCAACCCCTCTTGGCTTCCGGGATTCTGCTGGCACCACGCTGCCCTGTGGCCTCCTCCTCTGCAGCTCCTGCAGCTTCTTCTCCCGCGGCACTTGTTCACTTCCCCTTATAAATACTACTGCTCCTCACACTTCCGTCGCCGGCCTCTTCTCTTCCCACTTCGCACATTCTTCCTCAGCGATCTCATTCCATACGGCTTTGATTGGTTTTTAACTATTTGTTACTGACTTCCAGATTTTTTTTTTTTTTTGACAAAGGCTGGCCAAGGAGACTGACAAGAAGGACTTACACCCCTTTGTATCTTCCTCCTTCTTACTAGATGAGAAAAAGGAAGCACATTGCCCCTGCTGAAACCAACCTTAGGATGGGGCTGACTCTGTGGATGGCGGAAAGTGATCTAGGCAGAGCTGCTGAACCAACCAACCCTGAAGCCTACCCTACTCTAGATTCCCTGTTAGGGAGATAATAAATATCTTTATCATTTAAGTCATTTTGAGTTATGATTTCAGTTACATTCAGCCCAAGGTATCTTAACTGATTCAGTGTCTTATTTTATAGATTTTTTTCCACACTATATATAATAATTCATAGAATTATACTTACTATGGAATACAAAGTAGGATACACAACTATGGTAATTGGTGTTATGGAGTACGGAACACAGGTAACCACAAGTATTTACATTTGGGAGCAGGAGGTAGGAGAAGTCAATTGTTAGCTGTGTACAGATCCTAAGACCAGTGTGTAAAAGTGGCATCCAAAGAGAACTGGATATCGAGGTGTCCAGAAAGTCAACTGCTGTTTGTCAGTAGCTCTGGGATGGAGGGCAACATGAGGGTCCTTTTTGCCTGTGTTCTCTTCTTTGCTAATGTGGCTCCCGGGAGTGTGCCCCCTCTCCTCCTCTGCATGGTGGCACTGCATGGTGGCAGCAAGGCACATGAGATGACGGGTCCACAACAAATCCACTGGAAGTTAATGTCAGGGCTCCCTTGAGAACCTTAAGAGGGTCCACAGAGGCTGAAAACTAAACAGACTGGACACAGAGTGGGTAAGGTGGTACTGCTCAAAGAAAAGGGCTACAATTCAATAGCATGGTACTTCCCAGTGTGGCTGAAAAATTTTTCAAAGATAGATGCAATCATACTTTCAATCCATAATGTTTTTCTTAAATGTGACCTTGACATTCTACTCATTGAGTAGTGCGCTCTATGTCCCCTTGCCTTGAATTGGGTGCACACTGGTGACTGCCTCATCTGAGAAAGTGCCATAGAGGTGAAGTTGATTTCTGAGGCAAGATCACAAAAAGGCCATCACCTCAAATTTCCTCTCTTGGTATGTTCATTCTTAAAATCCATACAACCATACTGTGAGAAACACTAGCAAACACACTGAGAGTCTCAACGTGTCTTCTCACAGAAATCTTCTTATTTACAAAGGGAGAAATGAAAACTATACAGTGGAGAAACCTGGTGTATACCACTTTAAGTTATCAAAGTTAACAAGACCAATAGATAAGGAAAATAGATTCAGGTGCTTCTGACATGATCACTAAGAACACAATATCACTTCTGTGGTATTTCTGCCAAAAATGCAATCCAATAATGAGAAACATCAGCAAAACACAAAGAGCAAAACAATATCAAAAAAATTGGCCCATATTCTTCAAACAGAAAGGTCTAAAAAGACAAGGACTGAGGAATTGTTCCAGATTAAAGGAGACTAAACAGACATCACTGCTAAATGTAATATATGATCCTGGATCAGATCTGAAAATACTAGAAAAATTAGCTATAAAAAATATTGGGATAGTTGTAGAAATTTTAATACAAACCCTGCATTAGATAACAGTATTATGTAGATTTATCTCCTAATTTTGAAAATTATATCTGGTTATGTAATAGAATGCCTTAGTTTTTAGGAAATATACACTGAAATGTTTCCAACCTACTTTTAAATGGATTAGAAAAAAATTGTGTGTTTAACTACAAATCTGGGAAAATGGTATACACAAGTTTGTCATAATATTCTTTCAACTATTCTGAAAGCTTAAAATTATATCAAAATAAAAAGCCCTCCCCAACTGCCTAAAAGAAGGTAAGGGCCTAAACGTTCATGGTTTAGGGCTGGTTTAGGCACGGGCAAGACTTGCACCTAGAAACTTCCCTGGATCTGGCAGTGCTTATAGGCTGGTTGTGTTTTAGAAAACAATGGATGATCATCAGGGAATGGGAATAAACTATAGAGGGACGTCCTGGATCTCTAGACAGGAGTTTGGACCAGCAAGGGTCTCCCTGTAGCAGAGGGTGGTCAATCTGTGTAAGCTCTTCCTTCTGTGACATCTTGTGGCAATAAAGAGCTATTGCAGACTTCAGTGCTATTTCTGTTTGCCAGGACTGACCTCCTTTGAACTCAGTCATCTCCCAGAATTCTTGGACAATCTCAGAGGAAAGATGTATAGGAAAAGACATTATGGTTCCTATTAATAGGGCTTGTAAATTTTCAAACTAGAAATTGAAAAAATAAGAGATGTGACAGCATTTGTGTCCTTAGTTTATGAAGTAATGCCAATTATACTTCCTTAGCTTTATCTGCTCCTGTACTATTGTGTCTAAAACTATCAAAGTACTAAGAGATGATGACAAAAATACCATTGCAGAAGTTCTCACAAATGGGAAAACTGCAACTAAAAATCAAAGTTATGTAATAATCTCTTTGCATACTAATGTGTTCTTGAAAAGCTATGAGTAAATTGAACTTTTATAATTGCAACCATATTTTCACTACACCTTGAGAAGAATTTAAAAGATTATAAAATAACGCTTTGGAATGTGAAGGCGTACAAACTTGTCAGTGTTTTATTTATCCAAATTTTCAGTTTCTGAAAAGGTCGTGTTTTGCTTAAAGTGCAGTATTCCTGCAAAATTAGATATTTAAATGGTTAGAGGCTAGTGATAAATCATGTAAGCCTGAAATCAAAATTCTATTTTAAAATAGTCACCACATAATAGGAAATAAATGTGTATATAGCTATTAAAATAATTTGCCGACAAGACGGGTGAATTTTATTAGTTTTTTTTAATCTGATTCATGTATTAATCAGGGCTCTTTTGATTATAAGTGAGAGATCTATATCAACTAGTTTAAGCAAAAAATGGGAATTTATTGGCCCACATAACTGGGGAGTTTAGAGGTAGTGCTAGCTTTCAGGCATGGTTAGATATAAAGTCTCAAATGTTTTCTTTCTGTCTGTCTATCTATCTATTTCTATCATCTCTCTACTTCCCTTTTTATTTTTCGCAGTTGCTTTTTGTACAAACAGGCTTCTCCTTAAGGCCAGGGAAGAGAGCCAAGAGCAGACAGAGGAAGTCTCTCCAGCTTGCTCTATCAGCAATGTTTGGAGAAAATACTCTGGTCCAATTTGGATCACAGCACATGCTTGGAATGGGAGGACAGAGGCCATGTGACGTACGGCCCTCCCAGGATCCTGGCCCAGGACAGGGGGCAGAGCAGGATGTTAGGAGTTACAGTTCACTTAAAGAATCAGAAGGTGAGAGAAGGAAAAAAGTGGTAAACAGACAAAAACTGCACCTACAGTTGTCTCCCATGCTACAATTTTATAATTCTAACGAGCATAAGAATATATAAAAATATATCAAAAGATTTTTAAGGTGAATATTGGACAAATGCATAAAGATGTATTATAATAGATTTAAACAAAGCACTGTTTATAAGAGCCAAAGAATTTTTTTAGTCTAGTAGATTTGATTAAGCAAATCTTACTTTATTCATGAAATGTTTTTGCATTTATTTATATAGAAATTTATTATTGAGAGGAAAGGCAAATTTAAAACATCATATATGTATAAGACAGTATATAAATAGTAAGTCTCAATTTTTGTTTTAAAGTGTATTTTCTCCTCGCTTACACAGATTTATATGCATTTAAATGTAGGGAAGTACATGCAACATAATGTTATTGAGGTCTGAGGTCTGAGAAGAGATGGATGATAGATTTTTTTCCTTTTTGTCTATTTACATTTTATTATTTTCCTATTAAATGATGTATAAAACAAAACTCACATTCTAATCAACTCAAAGTTTTATGCATTCAACCCTAGTTACAAGTACAAATCCATTCCAAACTAGCATGATGCCTAGTGGCAACAAGCAGATGCCAGGCCCCAGTAGCTAGCATACCTAGTTAACATGAGCTACATGATACCGTTTATAAGAAAATTTTGGCCCAAAGTCTCAGTGGAATGCATTGACTTGCAGACAATGTTTGGATAGCAAGCATTGTTCAATGTGTAGATCTCGGGAGATAGATATCAGAATCGCTTTGAGGAGCTTGTTAAAATGCAGACTCCCTGGTCTCATTGCAGACCTTCTGATTCAGAAATTTCAAAGGTGGGCCAAGGAACTGGCATTTTCAAAAGTTCCCAGGGGATTTTTATGTACACTGAAGCATGAGAACTCCTGTTTCAGAGATCATAGGTAGCAACAGTATAAAAGGGAAATGATCAGGCTGCCAGGAGAGACTGCCCTACATCCCACAGCCTTTATGTCTAATAATAATCATTATTAATAGTACAGTTCTTTTGTCTAACATTTTGATGATGAATATCAATCAGAAAATTATAAAGTTGTCATTAAACATTTGAAAAATAGAATAATTTTGTTACATGTAGGGCTCAACATTTTTCCCAGTAAAATAGACTCCAAATTTTTAGGGATCCAAATTCATAAAATTCAAACTATAGAAACCATTCTAGGATCACATCTATGTTGTTAACAAAACAATTCTTGAAAATATACATAGTTCTCAAAGAAAAGGAAAGGAAAGGAAGGACGAAGGAAGAAGGAAAGAAAAATTCATTAGAATTTTGCTGGGCACCAACTATTTAGGGCAAGCACTTTTATAATCATAAAATTCCATCAAGATTA